GGAAATCTCTTAAAAGACCATGACATTAATGATGTCCTTAACAGAACGGGTTATATGTAACCCCATACTTAACCCCATAATATATATATTTGCTGTTTTATATAAATCATATTTATTTTTCCTCAAAAATACTAAACTTCATTATTTTTGCAGATGACACTAATGTTTTCTATTCAGACCCAAATTAAAAAAATATTTTTCATTATGTAAACAAAGAACTTATATATCTTATTGAGTGGTTTAAAGCAAATAAACTTTCATTGAATAATGATAACACTAAATATATTTTGTTTGCTAAACCATTTAAATCAGAAAACCTTCCACTTAAACTACCAGAACTAACAATTAATAGTATTAAAATGAAAAGTGAAATGAAAATACTTGGAATAATGTTTGATGAACATTTAAATTGGAAAAGCCAAATAAAAGTTAGTGGAGAACAAAGTTTCCTAGACTCTGGGAATAATGAACAAGACAAAATATCTTTTGAATTAAGTATGTTTAAAAAATTTATACTATTCACTTATACATAGTCATATATGACCATGTATAAATGAATAGTATTCATGAATACAGTTCACAAATATAGGCTTTAGGTATAAAATGATGTGATTCCGGAAGTTTCAATCGATTTAGATTACTAATATCATATGCTTTGAAGATCAATTATTAAAAAAATCAAATAAGTGGCAATTTTTGAGAAAATTTAGTTTTGAAATTTGCCAAAATTTCATATTTTTTTAAGATTTTTAATAGTTTTGTTTCTTTAAATAGTATTTAAATCAAAATTATGGTTGATGATACAATTTTTATCAGTTTTTATATTACATATTACAACACTAAAATATTTTAGTCAAATAAATCAATGACATAAGGCTCTTTGATTACAGGTTTGCACAACTAAACACCTCTGCTGTTCTCTTGGTTCTTATAAGAAATTTTTTTTGGTCATTTGGGAAACATTGAATCTGTTGATGACAGGCTTCATTTTAGCACAAGCTGCTTCAAAAGCCTGCTCTGTATATCTTCCAACAGAATGGCTTGATCTGGAGACAAAGTCTTCTGAGTGTGCTGTAATAGCATGTACTTTCCAAGTGACATTCAGATCCTTTTATGATACTATAATAAAATATCAATAAAATATTTTTAAATAATGCTGCTTGTTGTAATAATATCTCTTTAAGAAAAGTATTATGTATAAATTATAGTGGAATACTAAAATATGTACAGGAGCAAACAATATAACTACAAGCAAAAAGAGACATTTTACAGCCTACCTCCTTACAGTATTCTTGGGCAACCACATAAGATTGCGTAAATGCCTGAATGTCATCTTTGATGTCATCTTTGTAATTGGGATCCAAACTGTTTCCAAATGTTCTGCAAGTTCCACGAGGTAGTAGCTTTACTGGTAACAGATTGTCCAGCTCATTGCACTGTTTTAGTATTCGTTTTGAAATATTTCCTTCCTAAGTTCCACCATGATACCCTTTTCTTATACATCCTAAGCTTGAAATCCACATCTCAAACTCGGGCCACAATTTAGTTAAAAATGATGACATGTGATTTATGAGGCCCATCAACATGTGAAGTTCTGGAAAAGGTATAACATCTAACACCAACTTGAATTTGTATTCTTTCTTGATCAAGCATGGCTTTGCAACATTCTATGTAAAAATAATATTTATTAAAAACTGATGAAGTAAAAAACTTTTTAAGGCAAAATTTTATAAAGATCCTCAAGTCTTTATAAAGTTTTGCCTTTAATTGAATTCCTGCTTCTTTTGTGTGGCAATCTAGCCTTGTAATACAGTATATACCAATCATCTAAAAATCTCAAAATTCTAAGATCTCCAGCAGCAATAGTTGATATACCTTCACACCAGGCACAAAAATATTTTCCTCCGTGAGCCTAAAATGATTTATATAAGGCTCTTGAATTACATTTTATAAAGTAGTGCATATGTATGAACACATGCACTACTTGATAAAATGTAATTCAGGAGCCTTATATAAATTATTTTAGGCTCACGAAGGAAAATATTTTTGTGCCTGGTGTGAAAGTTAATTTAAGGTTCAAATAATGAAAAAAGTATAAATTTGGGTTATGATACATAATACCGGAATTTCTAACAATATGTTGATAAATTTCATGTTTGATGCAAGGGAGTATTTGCATTTATGCAGATTTAGGCTCTCGACAACCTGCATTAGATTGTCATGGGTCTCTTGTAAGTTATCTGAATATGCAAAGTACGACAGCCCCATTGATTCCACCTTTGTCATCTTCTCTCTCTTTTTCAGGGTCAAATATGTTGCAGATTACTTTCAATGAATCTCCACCTAAATTGAACACGCAATTTAGGGATTATTTTAATAAATAGTACATTTTTGACTTTAGTTACCTGAATCAATTCTGACAAAGATACAGTAGTAATTTTGACCTCTGAAATCCATGACGAAGTTGAGAAACTCTGTAATTTCTTCAACATAAGCAAGGTCTCTAGCAACTACATTTGTAAGCCTATTGTTTATTTTCTCTTCAGCTTGAACAGCCTTGACAGCATAAAAATCTGATAGGATCTTGCTCCTCTCATCTAGTTTTGCCTCCATGAATGATACAAATTTTATACCGCATTTTCAAAGCCTCTTCAACATCTGCTTATTTATATATTGACTAAGTCCTAGTGTGTTCATAAGGGGGTGGATTTCTTCAAATTTTACTTTTCTGGTTTGTTAACTTGGTTTTCCAAAGATTACAGGGATTAATGATCCTCCTGTAATAAAATTTATTAATTCATAATTTAAAAATGGCTGATACTGAAAATACAAAAAGTGTCATTTCACATTTTATTTCTAGTATAATAAATAATCTAACCTGTTGAAATGTTGATTTCTTCACCAAGGTTTGTCTGTGAAGATGCATGTTTTTGAGCAGAATTGAAGTAGCTTGCTGTTGCACCTTTGATGATTTGCAAGATGAAAAAATTCCTCTATTTCTAACAAAGAATATTGCTATGAGTGAGCAGTAAGACATGTTTTCTTTTTAAAAAATATTTCGCGAGTAGATGTGGCATAACTTTTTCAAGAACAGACGTGGCATAGCTTTTTAGAGAGTAGACGTGACATAACTTGCATAACTTTTTGGTTCTTTAAACTAGTTTTGCAGATTTTATTTTTTAGTTTTGCGGATTACAACCCTGGGTTGGGTTGGGATTATCTATTTAATCACATAAGTATATATGTTGTTACATATTTAAGTTCAGAAAGTGAGCATAAAAAGACAGTAGAAACTAGAAAAAAAGTTTATAAAAAAAACTATTTTATTGTAATTCATTGCAATAAAATATTTACAATATTTATAAATATTGTAATTCATTACAATATTGATAAATAAATGTGTTATTGCACAACTAGTCATATATATATATACCTCATGCATTCTTGTAATTAGTTCATTTCTTCCAGCTTGGGCCGTATTTCTTCACACGTTATTCTTAAGATAAAAAAAAAAATCTCTTCGTACGGATGGATTTAGTATGGTGAATTTTTATTTTTTTTATTTTTTTTTAGATTAATTCAAAATATATGGTGGCAAATATTTTATTTGAATGTTCTGAGCCTTCATCTCAACATTATGATGGATTCTGGCATTACCCATTACCAGGGTGAATTATTCCTCTGTCCCTAAAACTTTTAAAACTTTATCAATATATTCTTAAAACAAAAATGTGTTGACTGACACACTGACAGCTTCGCAGTGAATAATATTTAAACCATTGATGGCAAATATCCTCGAAACGTTACGTTGCCTAGGGCGAATGATCGGGTTTTGTGTTACTCCTCTTCTTGCCCATGAATGACTGCAAAACATGTGTAAATTAAATGGATTTTCATCAATAAAAACAATATTTCGAAAGCGATGAATAGGCGAGACTGAAGTATACCACCTAATATATTCAATTCAAAGATTTTTTACTTCTTTCATAAATTGGTCGTTTCTTCTTTCATAAATTGGTCGAGTAATTTTATATGTATATCCAAGATTGATCACCCATCTCCAGACAGTTGTAATCGATACATTTACATTTAAAGCATATTTAATTTCAATTATAGTTGTCGTTGTACTATCGCTTATAAGCACTTCAAAACTTCTTCTAATCTCTTATTAAAAATGATTTTATTGTGTTTCGATTAACTCCTTTAACGATGAAGCTTCAAATTTAGTTTTTCCTAGATCAACGACTAGATTTACAACAAGATCTCGCATGTTTTAAAAGAACAGAATTTCGCAGCATGAAGATTCAGATTAAGTTTTTCGCGGCAATGAAGTTTCGCAGCAATGAAATTTTTCGCGGCAATGAAGTTTCAGATTGAATTTTTCTTTGATCAACGATCAATGTGTATAAAAAATATGTACCGGGTTTTGCATCCATTTAAAACAAACATAACATCCATTTAAATTTAAAATAAATTCCATGAAATTAAAATAAGTTAATATAATATTAAAAAAAAATTAATGTAAATAAAGAAATATATAAGTAAAACCAATTTTTTTTTGAATAATACAGAATGTTGAGATTGCGTATGCGTTAGGTGTTTAAATTGAAAATCACGATTGTTTTAATAGATTTGTCATGGTTGTTTTAAATGGATGCCATGTTTGTTTTAAATTGATGCAAAAACCGGTATATATTTGGGTTTCAGATTAAAAAGCTCTTTGAAGGTGGCTGAGAATAATTTTTTATCCACATATATGGAAAATATGAAATGTCAAATACATTTAGCTCGTATATATTTAGATTTTTATTTCAATAAGACAATGTTTGATCGAGAGAAGCGATCCGCAAAAATAATATCATCTAATAATGTTATATGTTATAAGCTAATATTATTTAAGAACAAATTGCCAAGTTAAGTCAGCTGCGGTTGTTTAAAATCAAATCAATAAAAATATTGTTAAAATTAACAAAATTAAACGCGAATTAGATCACATGTGCTATTGACACACACACAACTGAATCTATAAAACATTTTTATAAATAATATTTTGTTTCGATACAAAGTATTTTATTTTTAATTTTAATTTTCGTAATGAGGAAACTTGTAGTTATATTTACCTTTATAGCTGTTGCTGCAGCATGGGTCAAGGATATGGAAAGTAAATCAATTATTTTATACAAGTTTATAATACAACTAAAAATGCCTTATTCTTTAATATTTCAAAAAACATTATGATTGCATATAACTTATGTATCTAGATCGTGGATTATATCAAGGGGATATGGTATTATCGCCATCTGAAATTGAAGAAGTTAAAAAAGGGACTTTCACGTTTTCTGCACTTGGAGATTTATCTAAAATGTGGCCCAACGCAGTTGTACCATACGTTATAGACTCATCTTTAGGTAAGGTGTCATTTCCGCATTAACCTCTAAAAGACAAAACTATTGTAAAAGGTAAGTTTTTAAAACAAACAAACTTTAATTGTTTTTTTATTTAGCTAAGGAAAAAAAAGCGAGAAGTGGAATTGAAAGTGCAATAGCCGATTACCATAAATACACATGTTTAAGATTTAAACAGAGAACAAACGAGGTTGAATATATCAGATTTTGGCGGGGTAGCGGGTGAGCCTTAAATTTTTAAAATATTTTTTTAAAAATACAATTATATAGATTTTTTTTCAATAAATACAACCAAATTAGTTTTTAAACTTGTAAAGCTATCGTACTTTTAATACAGATGCTCATCGCCTGTTGGTTTCACTAAAGGTAGAGTAAATGACGTATCACTTTCAGATGGTTGCTGGGGAAAAGCTACTGTTTTGCATGAAGTGGGTCATAGCTTAGGTAAAAAAAAAAAAATTTATACATTTTAAACTTAAATTATAAAAAGATATAACCAAATAACATTTTATTGATTAATATAACATACTGATAAAAAAATAAACTTTAATTAATAACAAAGATAATATTCAAGATATTATTAAATATCTTGAATTTTTTTTTTTTTAATTTTAATTCACCTCCTCAAGGCCGAGAAGGCCACTACAGACGAGGAGGCTACTTATTTGTGGCTATAACCCTCTCTCAACTCTATAACTCCGAAGCACGAACCTTGACGAACAAGCCCGCTGCGCGGAGAAACGAGTTGAGCGCGGTACTACCAGGGACGTGGTGGGGATCGAACTCGTTTATGAAGCGAGCGCTCTACCACTACACCACTACCGCAGAATTATATCCTTTACATGTTCAATTTAGTTTTTTTTTATTTGTTAATTTTCATTCGTTGTTACAATCAGCACAAGTTTATATTTAGTTATAAAACCTGACTAAGTGTTAGCGGTTTGACGAAAAACAAATTGGTCACAATTTTAATGATAACAATATTACATTATAGTAAGAGATAAAAGTTTTTTAAACTTTATAGGTTTTCATCACGAGCAAACTCGACCAGATAGAGATAAATATGTGACTATTGTGAAAAGTAATATTCATTCAGGTAATAACTAATTTTATATTTATTCATTCAGGTAACTATTTTTAGGTAGCTTATTATAACTTATTTAAAAATGCTTCCAAAAAATATTCTCTTCAAAGCATGTTCAAAACTTTTAACTTGTTTTAACTTGCTGCATTCCAGAAAAATTGGATATGCATCCAATATGTTATTTACAAAAAAATTTAACTTTTGGTAATTATACCAAATGCCATATTATCTTTAGATACTTTGTTTAACTTTGAAAAAGAAAGTGAAAAAAAAATAAACTCACATGGTACGACATACGACTACACCTCAATAATGCATTATGCTTGGAATGCATTTGCTATAAATACAGAGTCTCCATCAATCATCACTCTAAACAAAGAATACCAGTACCACATTGGGCAAGATGAAGGATTTTCCAAAACAGACGTTATACAGTTAAACAAAATGTACAAATGTTGTAAGTATTATATTTCTTTATCAATTATTATTGAATTTATGCTAATTTATTATCTTAACGCAAATCTGTAAATACATTGATGCCAAAATGACATCACTAAACTGCTAGCATTGCATCATAAACTTTGACAATTTAATTTCAGCTGGAAATTATCCGTCACCACCAGAATACGTCATTGTTCCAGGTAATATTACTTAATATAAAAAAAAAAATTGTTTTGTTTGTTTGTTTACGCAATTGTTAATTTGTGTTCTTTAATATTACAACTTTGTGATGATATAATAGAGATTTGTTACTTGAACAAGGCTAAATGGTCGTATAATTAATAATCACTTTATATTATCAAATTTATTAAAAAGATTCAATATAAATTAGATTTTTTAAACACTGTATAAAAAGTAAGGCTTCATAACCAAAATAAAATAAAATTTAAAAATATCCAGAATTTGAACCGAGTTCCCAAAAATGGCTTTGTGTTAAAGCGTTTTATACATACGCATTTTATGCACGAAATGCGCGCTTACGTTCTTACACTAAAAATACTTACATTTGAAATATTTCTATAAATAAAAGCAACACACTTTTATTACATAGGTCTGAAGGATAATTACTTAAAATATACTCGTAATTTAATGAGATATTTTTTGACGGGAACGGGTAAGCTACAAAAATTAAAAATAATCACGCGAGGATGCGTAGAGTCGCTTCGGATAAGTTCAAACTTATTTAACTTAAACTTATAATAATAACTAAAAGCTGCGCATGCTCACGTAGTAACCTTACCGTTCCCGTTGCAAAACGGACAAATAGAAACTCATCTTTACAAACATAATAACCTTTATATAAAATAAAAATGATTTATTTATTGTTTGTTTTTTTCAGACTCTAATAATCACAAATTTCTGTAAAATATTAGGAATAGGCATGCCACACATGTTGCATGTCACATTGCTTCGATAGTATTTTTACACTAAAGTTTGTGTCATTGGTAATTTAAAAAATGTATCAGTTTTTATGTTAACGAGTCCAAATCAGTTTACAATATTTTTATAACTGGTTACATTATCAGTTTTTTTTGTAAAATTATTTAAAATTTAAAATTAAAAACCAAATTTTGAAATAACTTTAAATAAAAAAATAAAAAACTTTTAATTCTTTTTGTTTCAAAAGGATGCTACAATACGGGTGGAGGATGTGAATTACTTGCTGCAGAGGGTAATTGCAACAAACCAGAATGGCAATCATACGTAACAAAATCTTGCCGCAGATCTTGCCGTGTTTGTGGTACTGGTGGAGGACCAAAAACCGATAAACCAGTTACAGCAGGGCCAAAAACTCCTATTCCGCCAACAGCAGGTAAAATTATTTCTTAGCTCAATCCGTAATGATAATAACAATAAACCTAAATAAATTTTCTTTGTTGATTAATCAACAGATCTTCAAGAGAACTCGATCTTTGTTATTTTATTAGTTTAATACTAGTTTTTTTATTTTTAATTTTTTTATTTTGTTGCAATAAGTATTAATTACTATCTGTTTATATGCGTTTCTATGCGCTTAAAATTAATTCTGCTATAAAACAGTTGAATTCCATATTTATCAGATTACGTAATGTTTTAAAAGAACATTCATATTACAAATAATATTATTAATTAAATGATATTTAATTTCTTCCCAGTGGACACAGACGTAAAAAAGATATCTTTAAAACGTCTTATACGCGTTTTAAACGTCTTTTGAACGTCTTTTTAACGTTTTAGACGTCTTTTGAACGTTTAAAAGACGTCTTTTTTTGGTCTGGTGTCAACTGGGTAATGTCTTGAACTATTGGCGGATCCTTATTGGCGGATACTTATTGGCGGATCCAAAGTTATTTGGTTTTGAGTTATGAATTCCCAAATAAGGTCTGACTGCATACTTTTATACGCTCATACTTATGCTGTATAACGATGTTTTGCTGACGATTACGCCGTTTATACCCTGAAAACGAAAGAACACTAAAAAATTCAATCGTCGAAAAGTGGGAAATTTGTCTTTTAATAAAAAATAACTTTTTTTTTAAATAAGAAAAAAATTAATAAAAATTTTAAAATTTCATTAGAAACTCATAAGGCGTTCAAAAGGCATAACCATATACAGTATAAAGCCTCTTCAAAACTTACAATTTTATTAGTATATAATTTCTAAGTATAATTTTATATAAAAATTTTATTTTTATATAAAATTTTACTTATTTTATTATATAAATTTTATTTTTATATAAATTATACTTATTATATTATTTGTTTTAACATAAACAAATAAAAGTTCTGGATCTGCCCTGGACACAATTATAGAATTTAACAAGTTTCACAAGTTTCTAAAACAATTTTGTAATACGTCCAATTGATTCTACAAACTAAACAACATATATATATATATATATATATATATATATATATATATATATATATATATATATATATATATATATATATATATATATATATATATATATATATATATATATATATATATATATATATGTATATATATACATATATATGTGTATATATATATATATATATATATATATATATATATATATATATATATATATATATATATATATATATATATATATATATATATATATATATATATATATATATATATATATATATATATATATATACATATATATATATATACACACAACGGAGCCATTTGAACCAAATTTAATTTCACAGATTAGCGAGTTGTTCGCCATTGTTCAGTTTTTGTTTTTATTTTTCAGTGTATGTATTAATAAGAAAATAATTTACAATTGTTATTTATAAAAACAAATATTTAAATAATTAAATCTAAAATAAAACAAAATTATTCTGACCACCAAGACCCAAATTTGAATCATATTGTACATAAATAAAATATGCATGTAAGTACATAAATAAAAGAATTTATGTATAATAAATAATATGTATAAATATATTCTAAAATATAAAATATAAAAAATATAAAAAGTTAAATATAACGTAGTGCAAATGAAAAATATAACGTTCAATCAATTTGAAATACAACGTTTTGCCTACGTAAAATACAATGTTGAATCAACGTAAAATATTTCGCAATTGCAACTTAAAAATGTAAATTTAAAAATGTACTCTTTTCGTTTGTTTTAACTTTAATAAAAAAAAAGTTTTTTTTTTTTTTATAGGAACTGCATGCGTAGATAAACACACAAATTGTATTAAATTCCTGAAAGATTGCAAAGTACATCCTGATTACTACAAAGATAATTGTAAAAAGACTTGTGGTTTTTGTTAGTGTATATACTGTAAACTTCTATTATTAAAGTACTTAATATATTGCTTCAAAAAAATAAACTGAATATTAGTACATTATACATATTTTAGTATAATTAATACTGCATTTACTAAATTAGCCATCTGATTTTTTTTTATTATTATTTATTTTATATATATATATATATATATATATATATATATATTACATGTATATATATACAAGGTCGGCCCGATATGGGGATGCGGGAGGGTATGACACCCCCCATCAATGATTTTTAGTCGGCAAATTGGACCCTTTAGACTAATTAGTCGGTAAATGTTGACCCTTTCGATATAGGTTAGTCGGTAATCTAGACAGTCGGCAAATGTCGTCATGGCAGTCGGTAAATTTTGGAAAACGAGGACCTTTTTTTTTTTTAGTCAGCAAAAATTGTAATGGCACCCCCTCCCCCCAAATTATATATATATATATATATATATATATATATATATATATATATATATATATATATATATATATATATATATTTGTTTTATTATATTACTATACTAGTTATAATAAATTTGATATAATAAAAATTGTTAAAATTTCTGAATTTATAAATATCAGACATATTAGGATTATTCATAACATTAATATTATAATAATATTAATTTTATTCACATAATAATCTATTCTAGTTATATATAATTTAAATAAACTGTAAAAAAAAATTAGTTTTAACCTATATTTCAGTATATAATTATAACATAATGTTTAAGAACCATTATCTGAGAAAATAACGAAAAGTCTGAAAGTGATGTCTTTAAATTATCTTTATTTTCAGACGTTTTGTAAAGAAAAATGAAATTAGGCCATCAGTAAACTTATTTTTGAAAACTCCCATTTATTGCGGAGATATAGGGTCCTAATATTTTTTCCATTTTTTGAAAATAATTGTGAATGGAGCGCAATTGCTACTTTAAAGGGCAATTTTAGTAACATGAATTGAGAAACATTTTTTTTCTACTCCTGTTAGATTTTCCAATAAAAATAAAAAATGAACATGGTTACACTTATTTTATCTAGAAATCATGGTTTAAAACCGATATGTTTTAAATTTAACTTTTACTTTTGAGCATTCTCTTGAGGAATCTCTTTAACTATCTCTTTGGACCATTACTTACACATAGTTTCCTTTAATGTTTTTAAAAGCCACAAAAACATAGGCTGATTGTATGCAAGTAAAGTTATTTACAGCTGCCAAAAATAATTTTGGTCTTAGATCTTCCATGAAACATAAAAGTTTCTTGGTTTCATTATACATGCATCTTCTAACATATAAAAAAAGGTATGTGTTCAGATGATAAAAAGTCTACAGAAGTCTTAAAAGTAGCTTTATTTTACTAAATTATTAACAAACAAAATACCCAAGCAACAGTAAAAATATGCTTAGCGCCAGCTGCTTTACATTTATATTAATTAGTTATCAAAATTTTTTATTTAAGACATTTTTAAAACATAAATGTGCTAGAGAGATTGATAAAAACTACTTTCTAGGTTTTTTTAAATGTATCTTGATTCTTAACAAAGTTCAAATAATGAATGGATTCTAAACTTTGATTGCCAATTCTGAGAAATCAAATCCGTGATGCACAGAAAAAAATGGCAAAACATGGTAAGGAAACTGGATTTTAGCTGAAAGATTTTTTTCAAAACATTTTGCCAGAAAAATACTGTGAAGGCATAAAAGAGTATTTTGAAAAAAAAGAAATGGCTTTACATGTTGATGTCTCTTTTTTCCATGAAAATGGTCAAAGTTAGAAAAAAAATTTACTTTACTGATGCTGCTTTGGCCAAATTTAAAAAATATTTATGATAAGTCAGATAATGCATTATCTTATCATGGCAATATGTACTTAAAAGTCCTTTATAAAGTTTGCAAAGCAAAATAATTCTTTCTTTAGAAGTATGATTACAATGAGCTATTCCCAGCTAGCACACAAACGTCGATAAAATGTTTGAACAATGCTGCGTGTTAAGTTGGCTTAACATCGATTGCCGGCGTTGTTTTTTTGGTTACGATTACGACTTCGCCAATAGCCAAAAAATAACTTTGGCCAAACGTTTTATTTTAAGTTGCAATTGCGAAATATTTTACGTTGATTCAACATTGTATTTTACGTTGGCAAAACGTTGTATTTCAAATTGGTTAAACGTTATATTTTTCATTTGCACTACGTTATTTTTAACTTTTATAGGAATTAAATTCATTTGTTTTATATTTTAGAATATATTTATACACATTATTTATTATACATATATACTTTTATTTATTTACTTACATGCATATTTTATTTATGTACTATACATGCATATTTTCAAAAATATTGATAAATTAGGTATTGTGGGTTATCCTCCTCCAGCTAATTTCCATACGGAGGCCACATTACCAAGGACCGCAAAGACAAGATCAGCTAATAAATAGCGTCATTACCTGCTCTACGGACCAAGAGTAAAGTGAGTTTAGGAAGAACGAAGAGTGTTAGAGTAAAAGACAGAAGAAGTCGTGTTAGATAGATAGCATACAGAAAGCGGACAGGATTGCACACTATGTTTAAAGGTGCAATATGTTACTACACTCATAATTGGCTTAAGCCAATTAATGTTTGCAATATATATATATATATATATATATATATATATATATATATATATATATATATATATATATATATATATATATATATATATATATATATATATATATATATATATATATATATTTATATATATTTGTGTATATCGTATTGTTATTTATTTCTCTCCTCCGGCAAATGCCTTGCAGAGATATTAATACGGATACAAATGGTTTTTTTTATATATTTTTTACATTTTGATCCATTGTTCCACATTAAAAACTAAAAAATTACATGTAAGACTATAAAAAAATGAAAAAATATAAAAAGCGAAAAAAGAAAATCCGAATAAAAATCAAAAATTCGCAAAATGCGAAAACGAAAAAACGAAATAAACGGTCGAAAAAAGATCTGGGCATTCCATTTTAAAGAGTTATCTTATTTTTATGTTAAAAGTTTCATTTGTGTTGCTCCAGATTTCTTTTATTTCTTCTAAAAATACACATAAATAATTTTTTTTTCTAGCAATTTGGCGTTCTTCACTCAAAATCTTTTTGATTTTGTTTTTGAACTCATATATATAACTTTGTCGTGGAACGACCGTAGTCGGTTACAATGAATTTTATACAAGAGTTCGTTAAGAATAATATTTCCAATATAATATATATTTACATTTTGTGATGAGGAAAAAAGAAAAGATTTGAATGTGTTTTTAAGACGTGGTAGGTGAGGATAGATTTTGTGAATGAGTGCAATGGCGTATTTTATTAATGGTTGAACCTTCTTGCAATTGTATACCATGTGTGGTAGAGTTTCTATGGTTTCCATGCATTGAGGGCATAAATCGTTGGTTGTGCAGCCTCTTCTTTTAAATAAGTCATTTGCTTTTCTATACTTATTTATTACATGGGAAGCGAGCTATAGTTGAATTGATGTAAGTTTGGTTCTTATATCTACAATATTTAGGCCTCCTTTTTCGATCGGCAGTTTGGATACTTCTTTTGGGATTTTGACGGTACTATTTGCCCAAAGGTAATTGTTGATTTTATTTTCGAGATGTTTGATTTTTTTTCGTTTGGTAGAGGAAGTATAAATGCTAGGTGGTATATGGTGCTTAAAAGACTTTGATTAATGATTATTATTTTGCCTTTTATGGAAAATTTAAAGCGTTGCCAGCTTTGGATTTTTTTTTTGATTTTTTCAATGCATATATCCCATTGGTGGTTGTGAATTCGATTCGTGTTTGAAAAGGTGATACCGAGACTTTTTAGGGACTGCTCATTCCATGAGAAGTTTCAAAGGTTTTCTTTAATTTCATTTCTGTTTTTACCAAGCCACAGGTTTTGGCATTTGTTAATGTTTATTTTGGACCCGGTGGCTGATTTATTAAGAATTAGGGCTTCACCAAGAGCTTTGATCGAGTTGTCAGTTGCCAGATAGAAGTTGGTATCGTCTGCATATTGTTACAGCTTGGTTTCTTTATTATTTATTGTTATTCCCTTGATGTGTGGGTTTTTCCGGATGTAACCTGCAAAGATTTCTGCTAGGATTATGTAAAGAGTTATGGAGAGTGGGCATCCTTGCCTGACCCCTCTTAGTATTTTTATCTCTTCCGATAGGCATCCGTTTATTTTTAATTGTGAGCTGATGCCGTTGTACAATGTTTTAATTAAATTAATGAAATAAGTATTAAAGCCAAACTTATAGAGGCAATCAAATAAAAAATTCTTATCGACTCTGTAAAACGCTTTTATTTGGTCGATTGATATTAGAGATGCGTCGAGATTTTTTTCGTTTGCGATGTGTATGACGTCTCTTGTGTATGAGAGGTTTTCAAAGATGGTTCTCTTGGGTACACAAGCAGTTTGGGTTTCGTTAATTATAAAAGGGAGGATGCTTTTGAGTCGGTTAGATATAATTTTTGTTAGTAGTTTATAGTCAATATTTAGTAATGAAATTGGTCTCCAGTTTGAGGTATCTGATTTGTCACCTTTTTTGTATATGCATGTGATGATTGCTTGTTTTTGTGAATGGGGCATATCGCTTTCTTTAAATATATTGTTTAAAATAATAGTTAGTGTTTCGCCGAGTGTTTTAATGTTTTGTTTATAAAATTCTATTGTAAGGCCGTCGTTTCCAGGAGATTTGTTTGTTTTTATGCTACGGAGGGCTGTTCTTATTTCGTCTAAGGTTATGGGTGTATCAAGTGTTTGCTGTTGTTGGTGGCTTATTTTCGAGATGTCCGTATTGTTTAATAAATATTTTTGTTTGATTATGTTATTTTTACTATCCGTATATAGCTTAGAATAGAATTGTTGAAAACTTTTTGTGATTGCTGGAGTGTCGTTTTGTTCCACGCCGTGTATGTCATTTATTTTAGTTAATAGCTGTTTCGATAACTTCTCTTTTTCAAGTTGGAAAAAAACCCTGCTACATTTTTCGCATTGGTAGCGCCATTC